CCTCCTTTGTCTAATCTGTTCCATTGACCTGTTTCTCTATTTAAAACAAACAAGTCCAAAACGTTTTGAAGACTGACTACTCCTGTATAACATAGTTGGAAACCATTCTTTCTTCATCTCCACCTCTTTTCATTATTTCTGTGATGTTCTAGAGCTTGTGTTTCTCCAAAAGCATTCTCTTGCTATTTGATTAAGTTCCATAATGTATCTCTTTAGTAGTTTGATTGGTATAACATTAAAACTATAAATTAACTTTGGGAACCTTGTAATTTTTTATTACATTAGCACAGCCCCACCATGAGCACTGAATATTCCTCCAGCTATTTATGTAGTACTTTATTTCTTTTTTTTCCTTTTATTTCTTTTAAGGAGCACATTTTAATCGAATCTTTACAGGTATTTTTTGAGCTTTGGTAGATTGACTCTAAGTATTTTATGCATTTGTAGATGTTCTGAATGGCATTTCTCTTTTTATTATTCCTTCTTGGATTTTGTTATTATATAGAAATTTGTACATAGTAGGTGCTAAATAAATGTTTGCTGGATTGAATTAAGAATCACAGCTCATTACCATCTTAAGCTAGACAGTAGTCTGATTATTCCTGGGCTAATGGACTGTTGTGTTTCTTTTTAGAGACATTACAACAGGCTTCTGTTTAACAAAGAATGGGCCAAATTCTCCCCAAGGGAGCCTTGAGACCATCTAAATAAATTGCCTGGCTCAGAAGTGGGTTGGCTCTGACTGCGTTATCAGTGTCAGAGCAAGAGATAAAGCATTGGGTTGGATCTGGCTGAGCTCCGCACTCCCTGTTTGGTCTCTCAGTTTGAAATGGCACTCCCTGACCTGGAGACCATGGCTGTGCCACAGGCTCAGCTTCTTCCCTGAGACTGGCAAGGAGGATGATAAACACAGGGCTGGCATGGCTGACATCGCCCCTGAATCTGTCCCTTTGCCACGCCTGGCTCCTTTTGTCCCGAGCTCTCCCAGCCAAGCCAGGTGAATCAGCCTTTGCTGTCCTGCTCCTCTCTCAGGGAAGCGGTGTTCCCTGCAGCGGTGATGTATGTGGGCTAGCCAGCATGTTCCCAGGATATCTGGAGGAAACCTTGGCTCCTTCTGGGAAGATGGGAAAATGCGCTATTGCATAGCAAATGACTAGCTGAATTCTCAGGCCTCTACCTCGGAGACACACACCTGCTCCAGAAGCAAACAGTTGCAAAATGAAAGTGAATTAAAGTGACTTGTTTGGGGGATTTCCTCACCTTCCCTTGAAGTCCTCCAGACTATCAAAAACAAGCCAAAGACGTCCATAAAAATACCCAGAAGGAACAAAAAGTAGCAGCAGCAGGAGGCAACAAACCCAGGCTGGGAAGGGCAACTCAAAAGCCCTCCTCTTCCTGCAAGCCTTCCCCAGCCCTTCTTTGCTCTTGGGCTTTCTCTCCGTTAATTATTTGCCATTGATACTTTGTGGGGCTGGTTGGTACATATTTTTTTGCATGTTGTGCCCCCCCCATCAGACTGGGAGCTCCTTGAGGGCAGGGACTATTTTTTGCCCTTTCTGTATCCTCAGTGCTTATCGAAGTGCCGGCACACAGTAGGCATCTAATAAATCATTTTTTGGCTGACTGACTGACTGACTTTCTGTGTCTTCTAGCTCACAAGCTCTCAACAGAGCCTCCTTACCATCCATAGCTGCTCCTTCGTTTGGTCTGAAAGCAAATAGAGAGACTTGGCCGGCATCCCCAAGATGAACTGTTTAAAGTAAAAAAAGAATCATCTGAGCTCCAAGTCAAATATGTCCCATATTTGGGGACATATTTGTCCTGATGAGGGTGAACCAAGAGAATCCAATTCCTTGGAGAAAATGGACTCTCTTGGGGGTCGAAATCATCGTCCCAGATATCAGGCTTGAAAGTAGGCTGTGAGTTGTTAGTAAGCTGGAATCTCCTGTAGCAAATGGATTTTTTCAAACCTTGGCCACACGAGTTTTTGATTCATTGGCTGGAAGATTGCAACCCACCCACCCCCTCCCCCAAAAACAAAACACACACACACACACAAACCAAACCAAAACAAACTAGTAACAATAAGAGAGGCTTTAACAGCTCCTTTGAGCTGGAAGAGCCTCAAGTGCAGAGTACAACACCCAGGGGCAGCTGCCATATATATATATTTTTTTCTTTAGGCAATTGGGGTTAAATGACTTGCCCAGGGTCACACAGCTAGTAAGTGTCAAGTGTTTGGTCTGAGGCCGGATTTGAACTCAGGTCCTCCTGACTTTCGGGATGGTGCTCTATCCACTGCGCCACCTAGCTGGCCCTTGGGCAGCTGCCATATTGCCCACTGTTTTGCTTTATGACTTTCGAAAGGTCTCTTCCTTCCTCCTGGACACACTGACCTTGGGGTCTTTGGTGTAATCCCTCTCCACGCTCCCCTGTTGGCCTCCAGTGATGGTTCATCATCTTTCTCCCTTCCTAATCCTGGTGGGTCCTCCAAGACTCAATCTTGAATCTTCTCTCTTTCCCTTTCTCATCTCTTACCTCCTCCTCTTCTCCCTTCTTTTAACTCCCTCTCCTCTCCTCTTTTCTTCTTCTCCCTCTTTTAATCTCCTCACTTCTTATCTTTTCTTCCTCCTCCCTTCCCCCCCCCCCCCCCCCCCCCCGCAGAGTTGGATCTCAGAAGTCATCCACTCCAATGGCTGTTTAGCTGCGCCCACCCCCCCATGTCTTGTACTTGTGAGATTAATTTTTTAAGCCCAAGGGTAAGGCCTTGCACTTATCCTCATCTGAGCACAAGTCTGTGATTTCCTCAGGGTGGGAAATGTTTTGCTAACATAGATCTCACCTGTCTCTCTGTAACCTGTAGGCTTGGGGAACTGCCTGAGGCTCAGAGGTTAGGGGATGCATCCATGGTGGCAGAGCTCCTGCCTGTCAGATGCAGGACTCCAAGACCATCACTGCACACCAGTGATCTCACTAAGCTGCTCCCTCAGTCTTCCCGTTCCATTTGATGTGGTTAAATCTGGCCCCCAGTGGCGGGGATCCTGACTCTGCCGACCAGTATCTTAGTTCTCCCTCCCATGACTTCTGTGAATTCAAATGCTTCTAGCCCCACTCATGGTATACGCTTGGACGTATAGGCTTATGGCTTAGAGCTCACAGTGCATCTTCATTTTATTGCCAAGAAACCCGAGGAACAGGAAAGCAGTTAAGAGGGACCAGAGTGTTGGACTCAGAGTCAGGAAGCACCGAATTCAGGTCCTCCTTCAGACACTTACTGGCTTTGTGATCCTGGACAAGTCACAACTTCTGTTTAACTCTATTCTACATCTGTAAAATGGAGATGACAATAATAGCCCATACCTTCCAAGGCTGTGAAGACAAGTGAGATGTTTGTATGACACTCTATAGATGGGGGCTGTGGTTATATCGGTCAAGTGACTTGCCTGAGGTCACAGAGAAAAGCGCACAGGAGGCAAGTTTTGAACCAGCCCCTCCAATTACCAAGCTGCCAGTGCTTAGTTCATCTTCTGCCCCACCCTGTGATCTTGTGTGCACTTTGTAGTGGCTCTGTGTGCATGGGTGTTCACCCGTGCCTCTGTGTATTGTCTTTCCAGAGAGATGATGAGCTCTGGAAGGACAGGGGCTATTTAATCATGCCCCTAGTGCCTAGCACACAGCAGGTGCCTAATTAATGTTTGTTGGTTGATTTTTCCGAGTCATCAATAAAAATGTTAAACTGTACAGAGCCCTGGGGTGCTTTCAGAGAGACCTGCTCTAAGTCAACCTGGACACATTCACGAGGACTCTCTGGGACCAGACTTGTGACATGGTGTGAATGCCCTAAGCTTTCTACCCACATCCCTCCATCTCTCAGTTCACTTGGATAAATATGCATTAATGGACAATGGTGTACAAGGAAATTAATCAACTAGTCAGCTTTCACTGTCCAATAACAAAGAAAGAACAATCCCTGCTCCTAGAGTATTCCTTTTATAATGGGGAGACAACAAAAGTGGTCTACAACCGAAATAAAAACATGTTCCACAGAAGGTAGCTTGGGAGGGAGGGTGAGTACTAAGGAATTATGGGGGGGGGGTCAGGAAGGGCTTTCTGAACAAGATGATGGGGGCTCCGTGAGGTAGAAAAAGGTGAGCTTGTGTTCTAGGTACAGGAAGCAGGGGAAAGGAGGGAAGGGAATAAGGTTTCTATAGCACCTACTTTGTGCCCTTTGATGGGGGCTGGGGTTACACTGAGGAAAACGCCACAGAGCCTGCGACCTTCCTTCCTACTGTGGATACAATGTGTATAGACATGAGGAGACACAAAGTATATAAAAAGGGATACAGAGAGAGAGAGAGAGAGAGAGAGAGAGAGAGAGAGAGAGAGAGAGTAACTGAGGGGATCAGGAAAAGCCTCAGGCTGAGGAAGGAGCTGGTGCCCACCCTGAGCTCACAAGGAAACCAGGCCTGGAAGGAAGTGACGGCGTGGTCATTTTGGACAAGGATGGATGGCTGTTCTGGGAGTGGAGGGGAGAGATGGAATATGCGCTCCAGGAGACTACAGTTGGGCCAACGTGCCAGAGCCCACCTGATGATAGATGACTAAGGGGAAGGGAGGGGCAACTTTTGGATCACCTTACGTTTCAGGTGCAAGACGCTGTATTTCATTCCAGAGACAAGAAGGAGCCACTGAGTGCTCCTTAAGATACATGGAGAATGCACGGAGAGGAAAAGCATTGATTGACCCAGAGGCTATTGCAGCCGTCCAGGAGAGAGTGATGAGGGAGTGAAAGGGTAGCAGCCCCGGAAAGGAGAGGAGGTGGCTGTGAGGGGCATTGGACATTTGGAAAAGACAAGCCTTGGCACCTCACTGGATGTGGGGGCGAGGAAGTGCAGAGCTGGGTGACCGTGCCCTCAGCAACAACAAACGTGAATGTTTCAAGGAGGGCTTGCTTTTGGGGAGAAATAGATGAAATGTTGTTATGTATGTACTGAATTCAGATGCCGAGAAGATGTGCCGGTGGAGATGTCCTGGGGGCATTGATAGTGCAGTACTGGCATCCAGGAGAGATGGCAGGTGGAGATCCAGACATCGTCCAAACCACTGACAGCCAAACTCGAGGTGCCGCTGTCCACAGCGCTCCTCTCATCAGGGAGGTGAGGACGCGAGCACAAAAAGGAAGAGGAGCTGGTTAGATGGGGCCATGGCTTCTTGGGTGAGTCATTCACTAACTAGCTGCACCTTCAACACGTTCTAAGGTTTTACCAAGAACACGTCAAGCTCAACGGCCTCTGGTCTGCAGGCTCAAGTCTCTTCCTGCTTTTTAAAAATGGGGCTTATGTCGTTGACACTTCTTTAGCCCAGCTGTGCTTTCCTCATTTTCCACGATCCCTCCAACAACACCGACGGCAGCTCTGAAATCACAGCTACGTTCCCCAGTACTTTGGGCAGTGCTCATTGGGACCTGGAGAGTGAGCTCCTCAAGTACCGTGAGGCTCTCTCCCTGCTTACCCTTGGGGTTCCACTGCCTATAAAAGCTACTTTTGTCCTGCCCTTTCCAGTCACTGGTCACTCGCCTTGGCGTGGCAAACAGAAGCAACCTTAAGACTGAGCAGCTCTGGTTTCTCAGTGGGTTCAGTTATTGATGTCCTAGCTAACCCAAGCAGGGTCCCACCCATACTTGGATCCCTCAAACCACACTCATTGTCCTTGGCTTTTTTTTTCTTTTTGGGCAATTGGGGTTAAGTGACTTACCCAGGGTCACACAGCTAGTAAGTGTTAAGTGTTTGGTCTGAGGCCGGATTTGAACTCAGGTCCTCCTGACTTCAGAGCTGGTGCTCTATCCACTGCACCACCTAGTTGCCCCTGTCCTTGGCTTTTCTGAGCTCACTCTCTGACATTTTTCTTTAAAAAACTTTCAAATAATATTTTATTCCCTCCCATTACATATATGAACAATTTTTAAAAGCATTTTTTTAAAATTATGAGTCCCAAATTCTATCCCTCCTTCCCGAGACAGAAAGCAATCTGATTTAGGTTATATACATGTGCAATCACGTAAAATATATTTCCATCTTAGTCATGTTGTGGAAGAAAACTCTAAAAAAAAAAAAAACAACAAAGTGACAAATAGTCTGCTTCAGTCTGCATTTAGATGCCATTGGTTCTTTCTCTGCGGCAGATAGCATCTTTCATTACGATTCCTTTGGGATTGTCTTAGATCACTACATTGCTGAGAATAGCTAAGTCACTCACTGTTGTTCATCCAGTGTTGCTGTTACTGTGGACACTGTTCTCCTGGTTCTGCTCATTTCACCTGCATCAGTTCATGTAAGTCTTCCTGGGTTTATTTGAAATCCGCCTACTCACTCTGACATTATTCTTACAGCGTCAAGCCTCACTTCTGTGTTCATCTTGTTACTTTTTGTTACTTCCCTTTTCAGTACACTGAAGCTCCAGCTCTCTTTGTCTAGCCTAACAGAAAAACTTCAGAGACTCTAACATTCCTGGGCCACCCCCAAACAGGCTACAATTCCTGGGGAGGTCTTGTTGCCTATTTCTATCCTGCATGCTGCTTTACTCTCAGAATCAGAACCAAAAGTGAGCCTTCTGAGGACAATCAGGCACTGTCAATAATCCTGTAGTTAGAACACCTGAAGGTGAGGCTAGATCTCTTAAAATAAAGGACTAGACTATCAGACCTTGGAACCTACACAAGTCTCTTTAGACAATTCTCCCCCTTTCCTCCTTAATGGAATAGTTTTAGTGCCTTCAATATGTTATTTTCAAGAAATTCCCTTACCTTGTAGGCTGACTTTCCCTAATAGCTATCATGCACATTTACAGACTTTTAAGATTTGCTAAGCATTTTTTCCACGCGCTATCTCGGTTAGGTGCCATTATCATCCTCTTTTTCCAGAGGAGGAAAATGAGGCTGAGAAGCAAATTAGTTTGCCCAGATACATACAGCTAAGCAAACATCTGAAGTGAGATTCAAACCTGCGGCTCCCTGTCTGTGAGCTCAGCATTCTACCCACTCTACCATCAGTTTGACAGAACTCTACTTAGCTGTCCTCTTAAAAGACCTTTTAAACAGGCTCCCCCCAAACTCGGGTGCATATCATACTATGCCTGGCTTTCCTTCCTCCTTCAGTGACTCTGGAAGGGAGTGTCTAACCCTAACCTTCCTCATAAGGTTGCCGTCATTTCTACTCTGAGGACCGATTTCTTCTTGATAATGAGAGTCAGATTCCATTAGAATTCTGTCTCGTCGTCTCTTCCACCATCACAAAGATGATCTGCGCTGCTCTGCCTGGGCCAGGGAGAGGCAAGGGAAGTCGCCATCCTAGGCTATCATGTGTCTGTGGGAACTTTGGGATCTGGCTGTGTATCTCTTCTGTCCTTCTCTTTGGGTGGCCTGAGGTCCTCTACAGAGGGGACGCTTTCCTGTCTTCCCCCATTGATCTGCTCTTGAATGTCCCCTTCTGGGACCAGACATACCAAGGCATTTCTTCTTAAAATGCAACAACAAACAAGAGATGTCTGCTTTCCTTCAGTCTCCCCCAACCCCTCCAGAGCACAGCCAAGTAGAGGGAGGAATAACCCTTGGAGAGCCTGCATAATTTGTTGCGGCTGTCGTGGCCTCTTCGTGGTCCTACGGACCACACCGTCCACGTTTTTGGGTTTTTTTGGGGGGGGGCAAGGATGCTGGAGGGGTTCGACATTTCCTTTTTCAGTGGATTAAAGCAAACAGGGTTAAGCAACTTGCCCAGGTTCACATAGCGAGTGTGAGACTAGATTTGATCTCTGGTTTTCCTGACTCCAGGTCCAGCGCTCTATCCACTGGGCCTTCCAGCTGTGCCCTGCATAATTTACCGGCATTTATAAAATGTAATTGTTTAGAGGATAATGCCCAGCACACCTGGTGACTTCTCTGTGGAAGACCCAGATGAGCATATCACTGGATAGACAGGTATGGTGGGGGAGACAGTCTGGGGAGAACCACGAAGGTCAGGGGCTGAGGCAGCTCCCACGGGCTGGGGGATGTGCGTCTTGGGCTGGTTCCACGGCAGGGCAAAGAACCCTCCACTAGGGTCTCCTGGGAATCTCTCAAGGACCAGCAATAGCAGGTATCGCCCTTCTGCTTCCTTTGCCCAGAGAGCATTTCTTCTCTTATGGGTGGGGAGACCCAGACCCTCCCCCACCTTGGACCCCACCTCTCCCTTTGTACCCTGGAAGAAAGGTGGAGGTTCTCTGTTGGGGCTCTAGATCTCACACACATTTACACAGACACCCAGCCATACACATACAAACACATGTACACCCACACACACATTAACGAAGACAAACACAAAACATTTACACCCAGACACACACATTTACACACAAACACACGCATTTAC